TATTATTTTCATTGTAATTTTTTTAATATAACAGCTATATTATTATTTACAGTTTACAGATTTACATCCCTAAAATGCGGGGTTCGATTCTCAGCGGTGAAAACGTCATATAGCTCAAAGAGTCCTCGCTCTATATAAACAAATCATTCTGTGGTTCAACAACTGTTAGGTGAATAAAATAGACAATACTCCGAAAGAACGTTTACTAAGGAATATCTTAATCCACTTACATAGTTTAATGAAAGCGACAATCGTATGGTTGTAGCCTGTGTTTTTAATCCAGACCTTTCTAAAATTTGTTGTTGTTAAAAAACGCTGAAGGAGGTTTTATATGACATGATTGGCGTGGACTTAACGTCTGAAGCTAGAGTGGGTCACTGAGTGATTGAGTTTGTTGTTCGGTTAATGAGTATCAGTGCTTGATTTGGTCAACTTATCTGTTATTAATAGACGGGTACTTAGTACAGAATCTACGCATGTTTTGACGAAGAAATATGGACTTGATATTAGCAAGAATCTGGATTGTGTGTAGATTTCATCTAGATTTTATTCAGCCTATCGGTGAACGTTAGTTACACAAACATACTGGACTGTCCATTATTCTTATTTCCTGACCAACAATAGAAACCAATACAACAATATAGAATAACACTTATCAACACATAACCTAAAATACTCAGCCTAAGTTGATAAAATCAACAATAATGTGAAAGAACACAAAACCTAAAGATTTAATACAGTTCTAAATACATCTCCAGTTGTATTGAAATGTATAATTTCATTTTTCTTTATTTGACATGATTATTCGTCATATGACGTGTGTTTTTTATTATTCATCATATGACGTGTTTTAATGATTATGTACATGCATATGTTTAAAGTTTTTATTTGGTGTTCAAACATAATAATTTTTAACATTATATTAATTTCCTTTATTAATAACCAATCAACACATGGTTGCAATATATTTTTGTGATCAGATGAAACATTACAGTCAAACACCTAATACAAATGGGATGAAACATTTCAGTCAAACATCTAATACAAATGTGATGAAACATTACAGTTAAACACCTAATACAAATGTGATGAAACATTACAGTTAAACACCTAATACAAATGTGATGAAACATTACAGTTCAACACCTAATACAAATGTGATGAAACATTACAGTTAAACACCTAATACTTGAGACTATTAATTTTCTTGAGTTTTAAAAAGCATCTCCATTAAACCTTTTTCAATTTTGCCAACCCTTATTTAAATAGGCCTAGAAAGAAACATTCAGTTAAGTAATTTTATGCACTGGTTATACCAATCAAAGTGCTATGCACAGTACCACGTACGTTTTTGAACAAACTGACAGTAGAATTTCACTGATATAGTTAAGAAATACTGACCACACCGAAACAGCCTGATAGAACGTTACTTTATCAAATATTCTCTGTTTTGCATTTACAAAAGGTTCATACAGCTAAAGTAGAAATATTTGATTAAGTTTTTTTTTCTGTTCCAACCCTTTTCTAAATAGGCCTAAAAAGCTAGTTTCAGTCAAGTAGTTTTATGCACTGGTTATACCTATTAAAGCACTGTGTACAGTACCACGTATGTTTTGTTAGAAACTGACAGCATAATTTCAGTGCTATAGTTAAGAAACACTAACCAGACAGAAACAGCCTGATATAACATTGCTGTATCAAATATTCTTTGTTTTACATTTATAAAATGTTCCTACAGCTAAAATAGAAATATGTGTTTGCCATTGTTAAGTTTCACAAAAAACTGTTCGAGGGTCATCAGAAAGTTTGAAGTGATAGAAGAGAGGAAAGGCAGCTGGTCAACATCATCCGTTGTTAACTCTTGGACAACTTTTTTCAGGATGAATAGTGGCAGTCACAAATATAACGCACTAACAGCTCCAAAGTGTCAAACATCATACTCAGAATCCAGCAGATTAACTGCTTCCCACAATGATATAACTGCATCAACCATTTTTAAATCCTGTTTAAGGTTGTAATCAGGATAATTAATAATAAGGCAGTCAGTGGCGTTGGAACCAACTAGATAATTTTAGTTGACTTTTAATAACGTGAAATGCTTTGAATATAAAATATTGTTAAAGTAACACACGTATACATTATCTCTTTACAGAAACATTTCAAAAATGACAACCTTAAAAAAAGCTCTTCTGACTGTCAAAACATACTTAACGACATGAAAAAAATTCACGATGAATTGAAGAAGTATCTTGAGGAAGATGAAACAGCTCGAGCGCATTTGATTGAAAATTTTCCAGTTTGGATTTCATCGCGAGAAGAATCCATTAAGTCTCTTAAGAAGATTGATATTAAGAAGAATGAGAACAATTAGGGTGTAAAAACCTCAAAAAATGCTGTTTCTCTTAGTAAAATGGGTAAAATACATAGTAAGATGGTTGCTGTCGGAGATACTCTTGGCAGTTTTACTGATGACCTCTCGTTAGATTTACCTGAAGGTGGCGCCACCTTACATGCTGCTGGAGAATTATTTTCTCTAGGATCAAACTTGACAGGAACGATTGCCAATAAAATAAAATGTCAAAAAATCATATAGACTCTGAATAAAGACAAAAAACAAAGTGACGAACTTTTCAAAAATATGGAAACCCTGAAACGCAGTGACGAAAACCGTGAGAAACTTCTGAAAGAAGCAAATGAGTTTATAGACATTATTGAGAAATCCCGGTAAGTCAATTGTGGAGCTTTTAGAGAAAGCAGTAGAATTTTATCAGAACTTAGCCCATTTTGAAGAAGTAAACTTTGACAACAGTAAGAAAGTTTTAAAGACAACTTTTATACATTTACCAGTAAATAGTACATGTAAAGAAAAGACACTTTGTGACCAGGTTGATCTTAAGCCACCTTCAAATCTGATCTCAAAAAGCTCTGGTGAGGGTCCAGTTGTATCCCCAGTAAAGAAAAAAAAAAGCAGCAGCAAACTGAAATCAGACGATTCTAAAAAATACTTTTTTATTTTTGAGTTACGACTTCATCAAATATACAGGGAAAATTATAGCTTTATCAAAAGAATGGCTGTTGCTGGAAATACTGACATTGAAAAATTATATGATTTCTTTCTCGCCTTTAGGATTCTGAGATTTCCCTCATATCAAAAGCGTCCTTTAGAAAACAAAAGAATGCCGAAATAAATCCAACGCTGCCCACATTTAATGTCTGGTTTTTGAACGTGTTTTTTAAATATTTTAGCCAATATTTAGAACAATAAACCATATCTTAATTCTGTGTGACATTATTATTCTGTAAAGAAAAAGTAACTACTAAAAATGTTAGAATTAGAACAATCGACGTATAATTATACTTAAATTGTATTTCAAGTCAGAAGATCCATGTAGGCTAATTATTGTTAAAATAAAGTTCAGTTTACAATGGCTTATTGTTATTACACTTGATATGCTGTATCGTTTCCTAATTTAGCACTGTTATTTGCCATGTCTGACAACCGTTAGTTAGATTATACTAGAACTAACCAACTAAAGTCACTTAGTTGTAGTTGGCTGAAAATTGACATATAGTATAGTTTATTGAGAAAAAAGTAACACTATGATTAACTGACTCAGCCTTTCTGTGGTCCTGGCGTTACGGGTCAGTATCAAAATGAAATGTGCTAAGTGGCTGTTATCAATTCAATTAGCTTGTTGTACAGATCAAAGAAACATGAATAATGTACATTAAAAATTGAGCTTTTTTTGGAAAAATACAGAAAAAAGTGAACACCTATCGAATGATATTTAATTAATTGGTCACACACTTTCGCCATCTTTTCAATTGAAAGATTAGAGATCACGACAAAAAGAAGCCCAAAATATAACGAAAAGAAGCAAAGTGAAACGACTCCAGAGATGGACAAATCCAATACAAGTCGAACTGATCGTTTTGTTTTACTACTGAACGTTTTGTCGCTTACGTGAATTTCATACATACACGATCTAAATGGAGCATTTTCAATAACAGTAATCCATATGGTGAGATGATAATTAAATCAGAAAAGTGTTTTGATTTAACATTAACATTATTTTTAATGAACTTTCAAAAGAATAATAATTTTTTCCGTCATTTTTGTTTTAAAATATAATAACAATGAGGATTTGAAAGAGTTATTTTTATCTTAAGATCTTGCACAGTTAAAACTAAGAGGAACATAAAATATAACTTAACGTGTGTGATAAGTTTCAAAGATATTGTTACAGCATAAACGTGTTCTCAAAAACTAGAATGGAAAATCTGTGTTTTTTGAGTCAATAAATGAATACTAAACATATTATATCTAGAAAGCTTTATTTTTCTCTGTGAAAAAAACAACAACAACTAAATTGATGAACGTGCAAAATATTATTAAGTTTAAACGTATGTACATACGTTGAAATATAATTTAAAACATACAAAACTTAAAACATAACAGAAAGAACATTTCATTGTGAAAAGTTTGTTAGTCAGAAATAGTACAGGAACTAATAACTTTGAATATCGTTTCGGAATCGATCTTCAGAAGCTGCAGTAAACATTGAGTCTTTAGCTATAATGTCACAAAGACAAAAATGTTTTGAAAAATTTCGTTCTTAATTACTTATAAATGTTCAGTTTTACCATTTTACGATTGTTTTAATAACATAGAGTCATTTATGGTACAATTGTTATGGAACATTAAAGAAACAACACAACTAAATTCACTGTTACAAAGGCTTACAAAACTAAACATTACTTGAATATATTAAATGAAATATCTGACAAATCCTTTAATTTTTCCATGATAAATATTGTATGAAAGTTGAGTGGAATTGTTTGTTTGTTTTTGAATTTCGTGAAAAACTATACGAGGGCTATGTGCGCTAACCGTTTCTAATTTAGCAGTGTAAGACTAGAGGGAAGGCAGCTAGTCATCACCACCCACCGCCAACTCTTGGGCTACTCTTTTACCAACGAATAGTGGGATTGACCGTCATATTATAACGCCTCCACGGCTGAAAGGGCGAGCATGTTTGGTGGGACGGGGATTCGAACCCACGACCCTCAGAGTGCGAGTCGAGCGCCTTATCTACATGCCGGGCCTGAGTTGAATTAAGAAGTTCACATTGATATAGTGCAAAGCTTTAATTAGTTAGAAATTAGAAAAGCGAAGTTTAGTATCCTAATTGGTAAATATATTTCAAACATTTAAAACCAGAGGGCGCCATCAACAGAATATCTATTTTCAACTAATAACTATAAATTCAGATTAGACAATGTTATATTTAAACGTATTTTGTATTATTCCCACATACATATACAGTCATATATGCGTATACATATATTCTAAGCACCACCATGATTGAATTATTATTTGTTGATATTTTTATTCTGATTTGTCGTTTGCAGCACATTCGTAACTTTAAGACAGCTTTTTTAGCCAACCTAATTGAAAGAATAAATATTGTCCGTAATAAAACTGTTAATACAACTACACTATAAAACAACTTTTATCTTTCTGTCCGTAATAAAACTGTTAACACAACTACCTATAAAACAACTTTTATCTTTCTGTCCGTAATAAAACTGTTAAAACAACTACACTATAAAACAACTTTTATCTTTCTGTCCGTAATAAAACTGTTAACACAACTACACTAAAAAACAACTTTTGTCTTTCTGTCCGTAATAAAACTGTTAACACAACTACACTAAAAAACAACTTTTATCTTTCTGTCCGTAATAAAACTGTTAACACAACTACACTATAAAACAACTTTTGTCTTTCTGTCCGTAATAAAACTGTTAACACAACTACACTAAAAACAACTTTTATCTTTCTGTCCGTAATAAAACTGTTAACACAACTACACTATAAAACAACTTTTATCTTTCTGTCCGTAATAAAACTGTTAACACAACTACCTATAAAACAACTTTTGTCTTTCTGTCCGTAATAAAACTGTTAACACAACTACACTATAAAACAACTTTTATCTTTCTGTCCGTAATAAAACTGTTAACACAACTACACTATAAAACAACTTTTATCTTTCTGTCCATAATAAAACTGTTAACACAACTACACTATAAAACAACTTTTGTCTCTTTTTATGTAATAAAACTGTTAACACAACTACACTATAAAACAACTTTTATCTTTCTGTCCGTAATAAAACTGTTAACACAACTACACTATAAAACAGCTTGTGTCTCTCTGTACGTAATAAAACTATTAACATCATTACAAAATAATATAACTTGTGTCTCTCTGTCTGTAATAAAACTGTTAACATCACTATAAAATAATACAACTTGTGTCTCTCTGTCCGTAATAAAACTGTTAACATTACTACAAATTAATACAACTTTTGTTTCTCTGTCCGTAATAAAACTGTTAACATCACTACAAAATAATACAACTTTTGTTTCTCTGTCTGTAATAAAACTGTTAACATCACTACAAAATAATACAACTTGTGTTTCTCTTTATACGTAATAAAACTATTTCCACCTTCCCAATCTCTGATCAACATGAAACTTTCAGACATTCTTGAGTATCCCCGAGATCAATTATAAACCCCGTTATGTTATTCATTTTTATGAGATTGGGAATCATTACAATTTACCTTTTTTGCAAGACTCAGAACCTTTTGAATTTCCTATCTTGCTATTATAGTCCTGCCGTCCACTTAACGTCAACGAAACAAATGCTACTTTTCATGTTGGTACCTTTACTGTTCATCCATAAACCACGACAATTATATGAACAGTTAATAAACTTATCTCTAAAATAGTAGGATAAGGTTATGGTGATTTACTTTTCATGGACGACTGAATAATGAAACAAGGAACAGAAAAAGAATGTTAAACACCATTGTACCTATTTCCATAACACATCCATGTGTTATTAAACACATTCATCTCTTCTCTTTCCACAACACAAACATGTATCAAACACATCTCACTCGAGCTCTAAAACGATATAAGGTTCCAATCCAACACGAAGATAAATTTGCTCCTGAAGGAAACAAATGTCGTCCATCCAGTGTTCAGATATCCATAGTGTACACTAACGTGTCTAACTAGGATCTTTGTTTTGCCAACATGATTTGTCGTACGTTAATTTTTACAGCTTATAAGAATTTATGAGGAAAGCAAAGTAGAATAAGATATAATATGTTAATCATATTACATCTGCCATATTCAATGCCGAAGAGCTTTTACTTGATGTTTGAAACATTATTTGTGTGTGTGTGTGTGTGTGTTACGTTAAACTGACCTACACAATATATTAACAATACAGTACTTTTTGTCAATAAAATATATTTCGAAAGTCGTCTGGTTAGCCGTAAAGTCTGTCATACTTATATTGGAAACTCAGATTATGGCAAGTCTAGTATAATACATGTGTTTCAATCAATCTACTTGACGCCATAATGAACTCCTTGTATATCTTGTAATATTTATTTTACAGACACAAAGGTGGGTAGTTGATTCAGTAAATATTTGCATAACTATATATGTCATGCTGACCTTGTAGACGTTTGTCTACAAAGTTTAAGCTTATTTGTATATGCTGTCGTTGCTGACATATATCACACTTTATATTTATCTAATGATAAAATCTTGTTACCGTGGTAACCACTCATCTAGAGATAAGATGTGAAGCTCTCTCTGACTGATCTTGACATTTACGAAAAACTAACGGTTAACCTTTTTTGCATTCAATCTCCACTTAATAACACGAGGGCCTTATCAAAGGATAGCAGTAAGTGTTTAGTTGGGGCCCTGCACTATGGATAACACCAAGTGTTTAAACTAATAGACTAGCTTCAGTCTTATCTCTCCACAATATTCGAGATGCAATTTTTATTATCAATGATAGCATGTAAAAACATCTAACTAAGTGTTTCCTTGATTTGTTGATATCATATGATTTTGGTTGTTGTTTTTTGCATCACCAAGTACAACAGTTTTAACTCAACCTTGGACTGCACTTTGCGCAATCTGTCGATCTGCATCTTCTGATTTTAATTCCAGGATTTTTCATTTTGTCATGAATGCTGCTTTGCTTTTTATATTTTATAATTTAATTATATATATATATATAAACATGTCAATACTTTTGTACTGCAGTAGAATATTGTTATATATAAATGGTAGTATCATCAGGTATTATTATCATATTATTATCTGTAACAAAGTTTGATATTTTATCAGTTCCTTGGCAGTAAAATATTCAGATGTTAAATTGTTTACACACTAAACAAATAGATATTATTTTATGACGTGTTTATATGGCTGTCTCTTTCGTTTATCATAAACGTACACTTTAATAGAATGAACTTTCCAATAAAAATGATAAATAATCTTGTTTTTCAAACTAAACATGTCATCAAATGTTTTTTTTTCTCGGATTAATACA